CACTAGACAGTCAGCAAGTATTTATGGCACGTTACAAACACTGGATTACCTTCTGTATCACTGCTGTCCAATTGCAGGTGTCTACTTTGCCATTTGCCTTCCCCATACCCTTTTGAGTCTTTCACTCAACTACTTCACAGTTGCTACAGACAAGGCTGTTGCATCCCCTGCCTTGACTGCAAGAATCAGATTTAGGAAAGTAGCACCCTTGATTGCCCACCTAGCAACTATGTTAGAAGTCATTCCCAGAACTCTCCACAAGCCTCCTGGATTGCTGCCCCTCCTGTAAATATGAGAGACATTAAAGTCTAGTACAAAACCCAGGATCTGCTCTCTGGAAACTTCTTCAAGTTGCTTAAGGAAGAGTTTTGTTGACTTCCTCCTCCCACTGCAATGTCACCCTTTCCAGCCTCCTGAACACACTCTCAACCATCCTGCTCAGTAAGAAGGACCACGTATTAATTCAAGCTACTCCTTTACATGAAGGTCAAATCCCTCTTTTCTTTCCTGAATATCTTTCTTGGGTGGCCTCTTCCCATCCATCACAGAACAGTAGGCACATGAGATACACCACTTTATTCCAGTGATATGTTTGCCTAATCCCACCTGTGGAGCTCTCTGTGCTCTTGTTTCCCAGGCAGCATGTGAATGTGTAATGGTGCTTAAGGTTAGATGCTTCCAACTGGTTTTGTAACTACCAACAGCACTCTCAATGCCATCACTGAACCACACAGGTAGCACCCTCTCCTTTCATTTACTGCAAGCTGTTGTCACCATCCCCTGATACTCTGAATTTGAAGTCTCTGCCACCAAAGTGCAAACCTGCCAGAAAAGATTCTCCCTCCCCACTTTTTCAAAGCAATCACATTTCTCACTAGCAGCCTTTGTTCTTTAGTCATGAATCTGGCTACAGAAGTAAAACATGCTGCCTTGGAAACCAGTGGTACAGCCATGTGTAAATCCACAGGATGTGTCCCCACTACCTGAAGCTTTCCCCTTCACGTGTAAATTAAAGACAATACTTAGGCTCCTGTGATATTCAGTTTTGTCCCCATGGCCCTGCAATCACTCTTGATCTCTTCTACTCCTCTCTTGGCAGTGTCACTGGTGCCTCCATGAACGAGTAACAAAATGGCAACAATCCAAGGGCCAAATATTAAGTATTTTTTTTAAGAATAGCTACAGCAAAAGCTGTTTGTTCTTTCTCACTTTATTATCCACTCAGCCTTTTTAAAAATGTGATGATCCTTGAAGCTATCAGATTCTAACAGACAGAATTAATTTTGACTCACTCCTGTTAGTTATTTGATTTCATAAGATGCTGTCACTATATGCGTATTAGGTAATAATATTCTTTTGCTGTTATTCTGGCTCTTCAATGTACCATCATTTTGAGAGGAAATTAAAACATCTCCCAAGTAGATTTAAGATTATTTCTGGAGCTCCTAAAACCAAACATCTCCCAAAACCAAGAAGCAACCCATACCTGTTTCTACCATTAGAAAACATACAAAATATGTTAAATAAATTTGCCAAGCAACATTTTCCTTTAAAATCCTAATCAGAATACCCAGCTGAAAACAAAAAACGCTTATCCTCTCTCCTAAAAATGGCTTCCAATATTATCTGAACACCAGCAGATCAAAGTTGCAGAACTCAGTTACACATGCAAAGATACATTTATGTAATGCATTCACATAAGTACACGTTATGAACTATATTTAAAAATTAAGGTCTTAATGGTCAAGGTTTTCAGGGATCTATCTCAAAGACCCTACTCACTTGTCCAGCTTCTGTTACTATGGCATTTTCCACAAGCAATAACTATAAACTGATATAGTAACACTATTAATCATCTGTTCAGTGCTGTTATCATATGCCTCTAGTCATGACCTAACACCTGGACTTTCCACTCAAGGCCATGCTGCTTAACTTCTTGATTCATAATAGGGCTTTAGTCTGAAGAAAGAGAGCTTCCATATGACATGGGGAGGCAGAGGGGAGAGGCTGGAAACAACATGAATTAGGTCTGGTTAAAAATGAAGTTTTCTCAGAAGCACATGGAGCAAACTGCTTGATTCCAGTTTTTTTCTAGCCAAGCAGAAACACCAGAGAAAAGAGACACTACGGGCCTATTACTGTAAACACCAACCACCAATAACACATCTACTGTATAAGAAAATAACATCAAGTGACTTGCATTTAAAACATTTACTTATATGCTAGGAACAAACCTTGTTGTTGAATGATTCTCAATCAGGTACCAGGCAGCAGAAAAGTTTTCACTCGTGAAATCAGCACTCATCCCAGGAAACAGTGACTCTAAATCTTTTTGAGGAAATCTGCCTCTGAAAAATGAATATTCATTTCTTCAGTGAGATATAGCCATGTGAACAGTTTACAAAAAGAGTCACACAGAAGAGTCACATTGAAAAACCCGACCCAAACACAAAACCCATATAATTTTCCAATAAGATGGAAATATAAATTTATATCTCACCATGAAATATGAAATTAAATCTGCTATTACAGACATATGTAGCATGACTGGGAAAGACTGAAATCTAACAGAAGTAAAACTAATCTTACCATTTTGATTTCACTATTACACATATGACAGAAAGTTCTCTGTACAAAATGTTTCAATTTAACTATCAAATGGCAGGACATCAATATGTTGACAGCTTGTAAGTGATCTCACACCGTCATTGTCTAATTGGTCCTAGTGCATCATAAGTCACACAGAAACAAAGGGAAATGCATGGAACATACTTTCACTATACACAAACGCTGAAAGAAATCCTCAGGTAAAATAATTCTCTTGCAAAACAGAATTCACTGATCTGTCTCTTCATAGTACACAAAACAAAGGAAAACCAGGCACATCTCAAGTGAAATCTAGCATGTTTTGTTAGTTTTTACTCAGCCTTATAAATGTATAAAGACAGCATGCAAGCCAATTCCTTGCAAAGCAGATCCTCTACAACCATATGTTTAAAACTACAAGTAGTTTCAAAGATACTCACAGAGAAAGTCAGCACCTTTTGTTGAAAACATGACAATCTTCACCCCACAGTTCAGACACACACCAAACACTTGGCCATATTCATTACACCACGCAGTCTCGGTACACTACCAGGTGCACTCCCTGCTCTATTCTTTGCCACCAACTGCATCCCACCCTCAAAAACTAATCATGACAAACAAGCTTACTTTTGGTCAGCTCTGAATTGGTCAATCAGTTGGAGTAGATGGACTTATGTCTCTTCCAACTGAAATATTCTCACCTACACTAAAAATGTACTATATCATTTTTGGGTCACAACATCTGATTCAAAAGTTCATAAAATCCCTCTCTGATGCTTACAAGTTAGGTGAACTTTGCTGTGCAAAACATACTGTATGCAAATCTGCCATACTTTGCATTTCAGAGCAAACTCGGGTGGGAGCAGCAATCCAGAGTCAGTTATCAGAATTACATTCAATACATATGAAAAGCCATCTGAATGGACACAAAAGCAGCTATTTGCTATTTTTAGCTTTTCTGTGATGTGAAACAAATCTAATGGCAGGCACATTCAAAAGTAAAATTATATAGAAAAAGTTGTTTTCTGGAAGTTTCTTTTTATATCTAAATGGCCATTAGCACAAGCAGGTACAAAGCAACCTACATATACATAAAGACATGGCACAGAAGTCTTTCATCAGTAGCACCTGATTACAGCAGGGGCATAAAATAATACTTTTTAAAAACCAGGAAAAAAAAAAATCAAATGAGATGCAAGGAAAAGTGATGACAGACAGGAAAAGTGGACATACAGGGGAAAATAGCGTGAGAAATAAATGCAGCAACTAAAAACGAGGGTCCAAACATCCTCTGTATTTCATGAAAAACTGATACGTTAATATAAAACTTTGAAACTTATGTAGTGAGATTCAAGATTAGCAATGACCTTGAATTTCATGAATGACAGTAAGCAGACAATGCTGTTGGATGTAAGAAGATGAAACAAGTGTCAATTTATTCTTCCTTTAAAGACATTTTAAGATACCTTATTTTTCACTCAAATTAGTCAAAAATGCCCAGCAGACACATGAACTTGAAGGATATTACTTGACATGCGATACATGGTACGGCTGTCCAAAAGAGTGTTTAGATTAGATCCACACATGGATCTCATCTTTGTGGAAAACTACATTTTTTCAATGCTAAAAAACAAAATCAAGCAAAAAAAATTGAGTTATCTTAGAATAGACTCTGACTTTCCATGCAAGCACTAAGTGCATGCACACAATCCGGAAGCAGAATTTTGCTCAGATTTTTCAGAACTTCCATGTATTTTCTCAGAAACCAAGAGAAACATAACACAAAAAAACACCCACACTGAAACATACCATCACCAAACGCTATTTATTGCTGAAAGAGTTTAAGACACATGCATGACAGTTTAAGCTTAAGAATGAGCCATTCAATTCCTAGGGGAAAGAAACCCTACTTTTAACATATGTATTGAGATAAAGACTAAGCTAGACATGTAATCAATTCCTGCAAATATGCCTTGCCTACAGCCAGTAGGACAGAAATTAAGGGATTTTTTTTTTTTAGGTTGATGTTTGACTTCCTTGAAAAGTTATTAGGAGCTTTTTTGCAGCAGATGTATTTGTATAGAACCATAAATTAACAATGCTTTTATCTGTGCGGACATATTTTAGACACAGTCACAACAGAGTAGAAACATGAATGTGAACGTGTGAGGTATGTTAACAATATGTTATACTCTATGGTTCAGTATCCTTATTTTTATCGTAAATTTTACCAGTAGTTTTTCCACTAACAGATATGGGGAGCTTGGAATGACTTGCTACAGCTGTCTTCACAACAAAGTGCTCACTAAAATGCTCAAACTGAAAGCAACTATATTTCTAGACTGTCTGGCCAGATGCATCTAAGAGGAGACTGACTCCACATACACACAAGTTTGTTTCATTAACTTCCATTAGTAAATTAAATAAGTCAGGTTTTGGAAGTCGTTCTCATGAAAACTTGCTTACCGATTACTTATAAACAAGCCCATATGTGACTTGACAAAGTGTTTCTGTTTTACTCTTTACAGCATTATGGGGTGAAGATAACCTAGTACCAAAAGCTTAGACCATGCTGACACACAATTAAATTGCCAATCAGTTTTCTGTTAATTTGCTTATTATATAAGAATCACTTCAGGAAACAATCTGAACACTTAACCATTTATTAAAAAGTAATCACTGCAAAAAAACCCAGGGAATCACAAATTGAATCCAGAACACCTCAGAAAAAGAAGAGTGAAGTTTACCATCCTTGACAACTCCAAATATTTCGCTACATTTACAATTTCAGAAACAGTGCACATATTGGGCTTATACAGTACTACTTTCTGCTAGGCAGACTATTTTTTCTAAAACAGTACCAGATCTGAAACTAGACCTACAGTCACCATTTTAAAATAGTCTTACTCATCCATCAGCAACAATTTTAAATACAGAAGAAATTAAGATTTCGCATTCTGGTTATATTAATGAGAAGTATAATAAAAATACATTTGGGTTCAAGCCACTACATATTTTCACTTTCCTCAAACATATTTTGAGTATATCTAATACAATCATACAGCATTAGATGTAGCGGTTCTTGCTTTCATGTAAAGGTCATGCACATCTACTTTGGATTCAAAACACTGAGTACAATCAATCCACATGTACCCATCAATACCAGTCCCTCCTTGTACTACCTCGAACTTTAGGTTCTATATAGCCTGATAGTCAATAAACCTAATTTAACATCACAGCACATACTGGCTCTTACAAATTCTACTACAGAACCTGTGCACATACAGAGCGTTTATATTCTCCAGAGATTTAAGACTAGTCAGAATCTCCACAGGTAAATCACAGCCTCCAAGAAGTCACCACTGAGTAAGAGCAACAGGATGCAATGGATACTAATGAACAGAGCCTATGAATGTGGCTTAACAGGTCATAATTTTTCGGTAAAAATTATTTTGCTCCCAGAGACTCAGAATGTCATAGTGTGTTTTTCAGCATATGTGACAATATTTGCAGATTAAAGGTGGGTCCCAAAACAGGATATAGCTATCAAAAGGTAACGTGAAGCTCAATTCCACAGGAGTTTACAGGTCAAAAGGAGCAACTTTAAATAAACACAGATTGTGAATACCAACCAGCATAAACAAGCTCCAGCTAGAGCTGCTGCACACTCCCCCCTCTGTCTGGTACCAGACTCCTTGAAGCTGGCTTTGTACCAGCTGTACTGTGTTAATAATGCATGCAAGAAGACCAGCATAAGGAACACTAGTGTAGACTAAACACAACAAATCAGAAGGTGTTAACGAAAGTGTCTCCAACAGCAACAAGACAAGGATGCACTCTGGCAGTTCCTCCCTAGTAGTACTGGGTTCATTAGAAATATGAAAACAAAGTGCCAACCATATTTCAGAAATGGCAGAATGTGGTAAGAGAAATCTACTAAGATTAAGCTGGAAGCTGCAACTCATGTATCAACCTAACCAGCAGGAAGTGCTGCTTTATTTTTTGGTGTCATAAAACTAGTACTATATACTGCAACTCTCTTCTGCAGGTTTCGTAATTTTTCTGCATGCATCTCTGTGACCAGGCTTCCACAAGCCCATCACATTCAATGACGAAATTTACTGCATTTCCACACAAACCATTTAAAAATAAACATCTCAGCCTCCAGAAACTCTTTTCCTATCGCATGGTAGCAAGTTGACATTTACCATTAGGTGGCAGCGTAAGATCATCTGTTTCCTTCCTCCAGATGAACAGTTTTGGAAGCTGGCGTGGGAAGAGGGAAGCATCTGTATTGAGTGGGTGGATACAGAAGTATGTGGAATGTACTTAGCATGTCAACATTTGCTTTCATGTACGAGATGGATCCACCATAGTGACCTCTGCTACAGGCACAACAACAAATGCTATTCAAAAATTTTTGAGCCACCACTAGGTCTGACTGCTGTTACTGCTTTGCAGAGGATGGATTTTCTTAGCCTGACAGAGTCAGGAAACCATTCATTAAACAAGGACTTGTCATGCAGGAGGGGACAGTATGTGGTACATCGGAACAAGCAATTCATTCACAAATCTTATATTGATCTAAATTTACCACCACCAGATTTCAAGCAGCGTCTTTATGACACAGGTATCACATACTCTCTCCAGAACCACACAAAATTCTGAACAATTCTACATTGGTAGGACATAACTTACCAACCTGCTCTTCTAAGAGCTCTAAACTGCTAAAACCAACCCAAGTGCTCCCACATCACTGCTACTGTCAGCATTTTCATACCAAGTTCCACATTTCTCAGACTGAGACAACTACTCTCTACACTCTTCTTCTTCCTGCAACCTAATTAAGAAATCTCCTAGAGAAGCTGGCAGCTCACAGCTTGGACAGGTGCACTCTTTGCTGGGTTAAACGCTGCCTAAATGGCCAGGCCCAGAGAGGGGTGATCAATGGAATTACATCCAGCTGTCAGACAGTCACTAGTCAGGTTCCCCCTCATACTGGGTACAGTTCTGTTTAATATCTTTATCAGTTATCTGGATAAGGGGATCGAGTGCACCTTCAATAAGTTTGCAGATGACACCAAGTTGGGCTGGGTGTGCTGGAGGGTAGGGAGGCTCTGCAGAAGTATCTGGACAGGCTGGATCAATGTGCTGGGGCCAACTGTATGAGGTTCTACAAGGCCAAGTTCTGCGTCCTGCACTTGGGTCACACCAAACCCACACAGTGCTACAGGCTGGGGGCAGTGGCTGGAAAGCTGCTGGTGGAAAAGGGCTTGGAGGTGTGGGTGTTGAACACAGCCAGAAGTGTGCCCAGATGGCCAAGAAGGCCAATGGCATCCAGGCCTGTATGAAAAAGAGTGTGGCCAGCAGGACCAGGGAAGCAATTGTCCCTCTGTACTTGGCACTGGTGAGGATGCACCTTGAATCCTGCGTTCAGTTTTTCACTCCAAGAAGGACATAGAAGTGCTGGAGCAAGTCCAGAGAAGGGCAACATTGCTGGTGACACGTCTAGAGCACAAGTCCTATGAAGAGTGACCAAGGGAGCCGGGGACGTTTTGCCTGAAGAAAAGGAGGCTCAGGGGAGACCTTATTGCTCTCTACAGCTACTTGAATGGAGGCTGTAGCCAGGTGGGGGTTGGTCTCTACTCCCAGCCAACTAGCAACAAGACAAAAAGAAACAGCCTCTCAAGCTGTGCCAGGGGAGGTTCAGGTGGGACGTCGGGAAGAATTTCTTCACTGAAAGGTGGCCAGGTATTGGAATGGACTGCCCAGGGAAGTGGTAGAGTCACCATCCCTAGAAGTGCTTGCCAACTGTTTCAGCGGACAAAGTGGCAATCGGTCAAAGGTTGGACTCTATGATCTTGGAGCTCTTTTCCAACCATAATGATTCTATTCTATGATTCTGTGGTTCTGTAAGGGTCCCTGGCTACATCTGCAGAACACCACAGCCACCGGCACACTCCTTGAGGGGAAAGGTGGCACAGACCTGCTTTGCACTAGAAGTCAGCATAGATGGTGATAGAACACTAAAGCTTTGTATCAGTCTTTACTCAATTCTGAAAATTAAAAAAACTAGAACTCAGATATTAAATACTTTAAATACCTATTTTCTGGAATTAAATTGCTGATGACTGATAACCACTTTCTACAGGGAAGGGCTCTTTCTTTTTCAGTCTACCCACCTTCCCACCTTCCCTTCAGTGTGCTCCTCTCTAGCCTATTCCTGCCATATTTTCTCACATCTATATTTCAATTATTTTCTCCTTGATCTTCTCTTTAAACGTTTCTTGTGTTTATCACTATCTGCATAACCAATACAAGGCACTCCTTTCCCTTCCTTATCAGCCATTAGGCTTCAAGGGTTGTAAATCCCAACAATGCCAAATGCTTCAGCTTCAAAATGAAAATACATCTCAATTCACACACACTTTAAAAAAAGTTTAAAATAGCCAAAGGTATGAATAAAAGAGAGAGATCCATTATGCTGCAGAGTCCCATCTCACTGTATACACAACTGTTCTTCATCATATTAGGCTTTCTTTTATCTTAAAGCATCCTAACAATTTTTATCACTTCTAGGGACAAACTATTCCCATGTCTAGTAATGGTTAGTGCTAATATCTTGTTTATACACTCTCGTTCTTAGTTTGTAATGGCCTTTTTTCACTACCTTGTATAACTTCCGATTGCCCACCTATCCCATACATAAAGTATTTGCAAACATGTGAGTTTAGTTAAAATTTATGGTATTAGAGACTATTTTACTAAAGTAAACATCACATTGCTCCAATTTGTCAAGGAAATTATGAAAGCTTTTCCACAGAGGAGGCAATTCTTAATTAAACACAGAATGTTCATCTACAGTTCACAGCTATTAACACTGAGCGGTCACCCATAGCATGAGGGCAGAGCAGGCTTTTCCTCTTTGTCCCCCTCTCTCCCCTTTCCACAACTTAACCCCTCCATCCCTCCACACAATTACTTGCTATATTGACTGACAATCCTTCTCTCACACTGATCATTTTCAACACCAGCACTTGCCATAATCTTCATGCTTCACAAGCAATGAACTTGAAGATCAATGACCAATGGACCAAGCTCAATATGCTTGCCCAAAGATTTCCCTATCCCCTCTCCCTCTAAAAGGTTATTTCCTAGCTGTATTTATTTAAATGTTTCTGACTTATTTCTTTTCACACATAACCTGAGGTTTTAGTAACATATTTTCTAATGCTTTCAGATAAAACATTTAAAATATGATATTGTCAGTTTTCCATTTAACAAACATCCAAACAAATGACTCTAAATTAAACAAACCCTAGACTAATGCTGTTTAGGCTTTTATAAGATAATTCTTAATCTAGTCACATTGACAGTCTTAATTGTAAGAACAATTAATTTCAGTTATGAAGACAAATACTACAAGTTTTGCTAAAATAACAAATTAAAACTGTCATAATCTCTGTATTTACAGAAAGACACATAGTGAGAAACTTGTGGAGCATGGACTATACAATAGAACAAGTTATCTTGACTTAAATCCCAGATAAAACATTGGAAAAGCTGTTGCAGGGTTCCAGAAATACAGAATTAAAGCACAGAAAATTAGCTTTAGTGTCAGCCAGTCACAACTGCTTCCTACAATGTTTCAGAAGATCTAATATCAATTTTTAGATAAGTGCTTAATTGAAAAAAGTAACTGGACAAAATTAATATATGATCATTTTAAAGGAGACTTAGTACTGTAATACTGATTAAAACATAGTTTTATGCAATAGGATGCATCACATGGATTAAAGAACTAACTACAAAAAAAACCCCCAAAAATCCCCAAACCAAATCCATGGAAAAGCAAACCTGAGAACATTTGTAGGTCAAGTTTTACTAAAGTGCCCACATTACTCTCTCATCAGTATTTGTATCAGCACCAATGATAGCTTTATCAGCAATAATTTTTTATAAATAGTTGGTAGCAGACAGACTGTCATGTGGACTGAGAAGACAGACGTGACAAGGAAGCAACAAACAGAGGAATTAAATCAAATTTAAAAAAAAAAAATGCAGCTAGAATAAAGGAATCTGGGTCATTCTTACAGAATAATGAGCAACCATCCCAGCAGCAAAAGTAGCAACTCAAGAGAATCAGCTAATAAACCACTCACTGCTAATTGCCAGTGCAGCACTGTGATAAAAAGGAGTATTATGGATTTTTGAATTTACAAACAGGGGAGAGAGAGTGGAGGAGAGACAGGAAGTCTTCTAGTAAGACGTTGGAATACTGTTCACAGTTCTAAGGTCCACATTTTATTAGGGTTTGGAAAACTGAAGAACATGAAAGAAGCACCCTTCAGAAGTTACATCAGAGGTTAGAGAAAATACTTAAAAAGAGACAAAATCTTCAGCTTATTACAGAAAAATTGGGTTAGTAGTTTGAAAAGAAAGAAAAATACATATTCAAACTAGGAAAAAAATGCACAGCCGGAGGCTAGAAGGTGATGATGGATCCACTAAAATCCCACATAGATTTTGGGAACATACAGCTTTCCCATCAGAATAAGGTAACAATGGACACTGCAGATTTTCTCCAACGTACTTCCCCTCACAAACAGAGTAGTCAGCAGATGACACCCTTAGTAATAGTTGAATTTTATATAGCCTTTTGTTTTGATAGAGCTGGTATCTTGATCAAGAGAAATATTATTCCTAATGCTATTTCTAGAAGTTGGGCAGGTTTAGAGCCCTACAGTTGTCCCATTTAAAGCCCTCTAATTCCATTTATCATTCACTATAAAGTCTGTATTTTGGAAAAAAAAATAAATTCCACCATACTTAAGAACAAAAGTAAAGAAGAATGTGGACTGAAAAACCATATTAATATGTCAATAAAAAACTCCACCGCATTATGCCACCATGTGGCATAATAAATCACATTTTACAGTGCAATTTTAGCAACAGATAGCAATCTAAACATCCTTAAAAGACCCGTGAAACTCAAATGCAACAGTAGGTATTCCATAACTACAATGTATAAATCTGAAGCCTTAGGATATTTACCAATCCTCAATCCAAATGTTACTGGGGTTCAATATATCAGGCTATTAGATTATCTACAGTTCTGATGACTCAAAATAGAGGATCATGAAGCAGTATAAAATGTGCACTAACAACTCCTTTGGATACCAAATAGCATACCAACAGCTAATAGATGTACGCATTTTTAAATCTTTCCCTGCTCTGTAAACCATTAAATTTTTCTGGAATTCACAAAGGCACATATAGAGAAAAGCACTAAAAAAGTGGATTAAAGGCATTTGGTACTCACTTGTCTATCTCAATACCAAGTGGATTAGCTGGACGTAGGGACAAGGGGGGAATCCCTTTGTTCCTGTCAGTGCGCATGTCATAATAGTTCATTTCATCCACCCAGACAGCAGACTGATCCAAGATACCTAGAGAAAACAAAGTCCAGATCCTTAAAACAACAAGGGCAGTCCAGCACCATCAACTTCTAACATACTGAATTAATTTGAAAAATCCTGATAAATATAAAATGCATGCCTAGGTAATATATTGGAAGATACATGGCAAAACAACCTGGATGCAATTATGCTAAATTATTTTATTACAGCAGCTGAAAAGGTATTCGTGGCTGGGCATCAAACATTACCCTCTTGCAGACTGCACAGTTTCACGTACATTAGGAGCATTTTCCTGACCACAGAGTATTAGTATTTTCATTTCTGCAAGTATTTGGGTACCTGTCCAAACCTTGTCATCTATTACTTTCAAAATAGCTATTACCTGGAAATCTTTTTATTTGGTTATTTTAGAGAAGATTCCTTTTCTGTGCCATTCACTATCCAAAAGGTAGGTGAACTTTGGCCACACACCAAGATAGATGACTCAAAGGACACAGAAGTGACTTTGTTTCAAAGCTTTACCACACACAGCACATAAAGGTGAGGCACAATAGGTCTTGGACATCAGCCAAGAAATGGAGTTGGCCATACTCTTGGCCTTGCCTTCCTTTAACATACCCATCAGATACTCAACACCAGAAATTACTCCATCCCCACAATTACCTGATTTTTAAAATGTAAATTCTCCTCTCCCATCACCAAAAGCTTCCCTGTGTAACATTTGCACTTGATTCACCTTTCTATTATTAAGATCTTAGTAGAGCTTGGGAGAAATTAGGTGTTATTTAACTGTCACTGAACTGCTGAGAACAAAAGCCTAAAACAGTTCTTGTGGGAACCCCTGTGTTAGAAAAGATAAGTACCCAACTTCATCAATGAGGGGTTCTGAAAGAAACGTTTTCAATCCAGAGGGTATTTAACCTGGATTCTAGATGAAGCAGAGATCCTAGACTGCTTGGCAACATCATTTCAGTGGTTAAGCATCTCATGAGAAACACTTAAGTCTTTCCATCTTGCAGGATGGTTTGAATTACAAATAAGAAACGACACTGAGGACTCAACTTTCTTTAAAGGATTAACTCTCAGCTCAGGCTTTAGGTGTAAAGCTCATGAGCCAGTTTATATTTTGCATTTGTCTAGTACACTCAAAAGTAATTACTGGATCTGTTATTAGTTGGTTGGTTTTTTTTTAAATTCTAGAAGTTTAGTGCTACTCCATACAGAAAAATAAAGGGCTACTTTTCATTAGTCACTGAGGGGTTTATCAGGATATTGAAACAGGATTAATTTTACATATACCACGAGTTTATCGATATACTTATTTGCACATTTTATTCATATACTCTGCTTTTTCTAAACAACTGAAAATGATCCTGAGGTGGATCCATTTCAAACGTACATTTATATAAAGAGGCACTCAGTCATATCTGTTTAGCAAAAAAAACATTAGGTGTGGATCTGAAGAAGAAATATACCTATTTTTTCAGGTTTAAGCAGTTTGAAGGAAACAGTTGAAGTTCCTTTGCCACCAGACTTTGTAGTAACAATAATGTCTCCCTTGTCATTTTTAGCCTGTCCAACTCGACACACAATTTTACTGGCAGACATCCATTCAGCAGTTAGCAGACAGTTGTGCCCACAGATTGTTAAACCTGGGAAAAAGAACAACAAGAATTAACCTACTGTGATTAGAAGTATCTTCTGAAATTCTGAAATTCAAATACATTCAAGATGCTTCATCCATTTTACATAAATATATATATATATATACACACATATATATATACACACACACACATAAGATATATATGACCCTTCACCAGTCCCCTACAGCCAAGGAGCCACAAGTACGTTTTTCAGACGTTTCCTAGGGGACTTCATGTCTCTTGCCCCAGTGACACTTCACGAGACACACACAGTGCTGCCTGAAATTTATTTTAATCTCTTCCACCAGTTGTGGCCTACTGTGGCTTTTACTTCATGCAATACAATAGATTTTCTGCCTGCAAGACACTAAAAACCTGCTGATCAGTATTGCATTTCTGTGAAACTTCCATCAAAACAGCATGCAACAAGTTCAGTCTATATAACTTTGCACAGAAAAAAAAAGACTCTATAAAATATTCACAATGAACAATGTTTCTTCAACATTATTTGTTCAGCAGTACTTTCGTGGACACAGAAGGGATTTTTGGTCAAAGTAGTATCAACTAACAATATTCTGTCCCAATCTCTTCTGTACAAAATCCATGATAACTTTGACTGATCCACGATGAAGACTGATTCTGAGGCAAACTGCCTTTGTTATATGAAAGAAAAATCATAGAACATTCATCTGTTCCATCTTCTACGCTTTCTCATACAACAGAAGTACAAATGACAAACTATTAAATACAAGAAAACCTTTTCTCGTAGGAAGAGACTGTGGCATATTAAAATATGTCAAGTCTTAGTATTTAAAAACACCTTTCAACACAAAGTACACCTTAAAGTCCAAAGCTTCCTGAGATTTCACATCAAATCACTCTAACCAGCTGATGAATCCGATCAGATTAATCTGACTGGTTCTGGTCAGATCAGGACTCAGGATGCTGGAATAGATGGATTGTTTTCTCAGATTTAGAACAAGTTCCATATTCCTCATCAGAGTTCTGCTGTCCTGAAGAGCTGGCAAGATCCTAATTTCTATATATGGATTTGAAAAAAAACTTCATTATGCTCTTCTTAAATAACACCCAGATCTAGGAGCATTTTGCCTTATGTCCAAAAGGACAAGGCTGTACTAGTGTGTTGGCTGTACTGGAGTACAAATTAGTCAAGCACAGCAGTTCCTCCTCTGTTGGCTTGGCTTTTGTTTTCAATTTCTAGAAAGCTCTGACCAATTTAAAAAATACTTAGAGACAGAAAAGGGTCAGCCATATGTGGCTCAGAACCAAAGCTTCACACATACTTTTTCTCACAATTTAAGTCTCTGACATGACACAGCATACAAATTTGGCAGTTTTCACGGTTGTCAGACATAAAAATGCCTTACTCCCTGCCAAAAGCTGTTTTGAAAACGAAATAAATAAAAAAAAGGCAGAAGGGCATTGAATCTTATTATAACTGAAATTAATTTCACTTAAGCAAGGACAGTAGATTTGTTTCACAAAAGATGCCTGACTAAAAGGGGGGAGAGCGGGGAGAAACAGGATACATACACACAAAAACAAGAGCCTTAAAATGAAAATAAGTATTTTGGTTATTTACTCGTAACATTTTAACCAGGTCAGTTTTTTATTTTCAGAGAGGAGGAAAAAAATCCCATACATTTATGATGAATGGGTTTGAAACTTATGTTATTACATCTTTTCTGGTTTCATGTTAACAGCTTCTCTAAAGGAAAAAAAATTGTGGTAGGGACCAAGACTAACTGAAAGACTTTGCCTGAACCATTCCTAAATAGGTTTTCACCCTAGAATTTCAAAGGTCTGAATTCACATTTAAATTAAGCAATACTTTAAAATCAAGAACCAAGCTATAGCAATTTAGTAGGGTACAATTTTTTTATTTTTATTTTATCTGTTTTAAAGATACTTGTATTAAGTATTTTCTACTCATTGAAAGTTCCAAAAGCTCTCAAGAGAACAAGATCCAACACTTCTGGAAAGGCAGGAAACAGCCTTTGCCTGTCTCTTACAGAGGCAAAAGAAAATTAAGTTTCTAGTAACATTCTATATACCACACTATATTGTAGCAATGGCACAATACCATTTCTAGAACAAATAAAGGCATTTTGGGGGAGACGTTTTGGTAGCACAGACATGTTTCTTTCTCCAAATAGACAAAACCTCCCTTTAAATAAAATGTAATTTGAATCTGTTGCACGGTACAAAGACCTCTGAGAACATCATACTTGGCTTCTAGTTTTTATGTGCCTTTCAATAAATAGGCATAAGTAATCCTCTTGTTGAGGCTGTCCGACTTTGGTTAAGCTTATATATAGACAAATTTACAATGCCTACAAAATACAGCTGCAAATGTCTGAAAACACAAACTAGACCTTGAGAACACAAATGTTACAGGTATCTCCTGGATTTGACTTTTTGTACCATGAGCTATAGAGTTACAAATAAAAAGTTTATTTGGTTTCAAAGATACAAAGATATTACTAGGCGGCTCTCTCTTAAATGAAACAAAAAGACATGTTCTTCTATTATGTGATCCTCTGTTTATCTATAGAAAAAAAAATTTCTTGCATTTCATTTTACCCTAATGCATCTCAAACTTTATAAACTTTATAAAAACCTCACTCAAATTTGATTAACTCTCATGCTTACAAAATCTCACTTTTGCAAGTATTTCCATTCAAATCACAGGGAATATTTATGTGCCTAATTTAACCTTTAAAGAGAATCTTAGCATGTCTGGGGCCTTAGTCACTTATTGGAGAAAGCTGAGAATTGAGCTACAGAAAAAAAATGAGGCAATCCATTATTTGATTTTACCTCAAGGCATAAAACTATTAGCAGCTATGTGTTACAAATGTTACTCCAAAAGAAATAAAAGAAGAAATATTAGCAGTTGGTTGGCTGCAATACTGAGGCACAGTTCAAATGTCTTCCTTCTAAGAACCTAACACTGATAATTTTTAAGAGGATCATACCAATGAAGTAATGAAGTTATTGCAGTACATCAATCACACAAATACACAGAAATATACTCACCTCTAACATCATCAGTTAACTGAGGATTTCTCAATAAAGATTCCTTAGTTTACCGCAACCTTATCTAGCAGCTCAGGAAAATATTACTTCCCCTTTTGAGAGACAGCAAACTGAAGTGAAGCGGAAAACTGTACTAGCTTATGCTTGGCCATAAAACTCATTGTGATGGCCATGAATGGAATTTGTGAATCTTGGTTTGCAGCCATGAGGTGAAATATCTTTTCTAGCAAAGCCAAACAAAATTCCAATGGACTTCATAGGAGTCACAATTCCACAACAAATCAGAAAAATTGTCTCTAACACGACTACTGAAGTACACATACGTGTAACTTACAAAAGGAATAAGGGAAATTCCAGTAGTTACAGTTAACTTGGATTTCACGAGGATTTTACTAAGTCCTTCTCGAAAGACTTCAGAAAATTAAGCAGCTACAGGATATGAACCACAAATGGATAAACAGCTCATTAAGATAGAAACAAAGTTACAGCAAATGGAGCGTTTTGACTGATGAAAGTTTCCACAGGGTATATGTTGGGATCACTCATGTTCAGTATACTAATAAATTACAAGATAAAGAGATTACGAAGTTTGCTGACGATACTAGTTTATTCAGAATATGAAGACCATAAAAACCAGAAAAAAATGCAGAAAGGAACTTAGGAGACTGAGTGGATGCACTATAATGTAGATGCTATAATACAACAGCTGAAATTCAATAAACAGAAACATGGTGCACACAGGCTAAACCTTAAATTCACAGATGACAGGCTCAAACAGATTACTAACCCTTGATTGTTAAATTATGGAACGAGAAACAACATCAGTTCAATACTTAGTAGCAGTTACACAGAAAACAGAACCCAATGGAAGAATTACAAAGCAAAATTGAGAGTACAGTGTTATGCTACACTGTAGTCACAACCTGAATACTCAATGTAACCCAAATTATGTTCACCTATGATTGCTAGTGAAACCAAGAGAGATTCACTGCAACAAGTGCCAAAGATACATTCAGAAACTTTAAATACGTTGGGATGTTTCAGCCTGGAAAGGAGGCAACCGTGCAGTAATGAACAAGGTCAGGAGAATCAGAGGAAACAGCTTGCTCTCTCTTTCAACCAAACAGCTATGATGATTCAAATGAAATCTCCATGTTAGAACCAAAACAGCAATGGAAATGGTTCTTCACATAATGTGTAGCTAAATCACTGAACCTGCCTTGTCATAACTGTTGCAGACATACAAAGTGATTTTACACTAATTCAAGGAATAGCAACCATCAGCCACTTTCTCAACACACTGAAAACACTTCTGATAGGAAGGTTTCAATGCAGAAACTCTCAAAGCCTGTGAAAGTAACAAAGGAGAATCTCATTACATCTACCCTCTTCTAGTACAGCCCAATAAGTATTCACTCTTAGTGTTCAGCAGAGGATGTTGAATTAGCTTAAGGGCTCACCTAGCAAGGTACAATCAGTATGACTAGTTACTCACTGGGCAGCAGCCCTGAACGTATGGATTCAAATGTGTATTTGTGTAAAGGGTATTCCTCATACCATGCAACATAAATTTCTCGTGGTAGAATCTATCTCAAATCATATCCAAAATGTTACATTCTGCAATCTCAAAAGGGTTTCTTTCAACTTACCTATGAGGTCTGTAGGCCCAGTTCCCAAATTTTCTCCTCTAATTGTCACCTTTGTCCATGAGATGCCTTCATTGGGAGAGATGCCAGTTACAAGTGGGGGCTGCCGTGCTCGAGACATGATGTCTATTGAGTTACGGAGATCTGAGCTGGTTTTATCTGTTCAGCAAGAAACAATAAATTTAAAAAACCCAATAATTGTATTATGCAAAAATTATTTAAAGCTTTTCAATCTGTTTTTCCAAAACGGTAGGGAAACACGAATGTAAATATGGAACATCACTCTCAGCCTTTCTGCCACAGTCACAAAACAGTAACTACACCTTCTTTGCACATTTTTGTAAATTAAATATATCTCTAGTTATATGCTGCAAGGGTATATACAGAAAAATATTGCACCTTTGAAACGCTTAATAAAACTATATATACACACTTCAAATCACTTCTGTCAGAATTCAAATGAGCTGCAGTATGTGAGCCATGTCCATTACATGAAGGAACTCTGGTAAGAGCCCATGACAACACACACAATATACGTCTGGTTCGGTTTTGTGTTTTTAACTGGCAAACCTCATAATAATTCTTGACTGGTTGACTTCACAACATCACAAACTTATGTGTTTAATAAAACATTAGTATCTCTGGGGTTTTTTAAACAACAAACTGATGATAAGGGAATTAATTTATACAGTTATGATATGGATACTCTTTTTAAATCTTCTGTGTAAAATACTGGAACATTTCACATGAACCCAACATGAGACTAGAGAGTGAGTAGTCAACAGATGCAGTCTTACAACCTCACAGTTAGAACATCACTGAAGGAGAGGAGGACTGTATCAGCAGATTACAAAGAAATTCACTATAGACAAGAAGGTTGTGCTCTGGAATGCCCTTGCTCCTGCTCCCTTGTGCCCTACCCCTATTTCTTTCCCAGCACTGGCTTTTCCCCTTCCTCACAAAGAGACAGTCTTTGCCTCATTTCAAAATGGAGGCCAGGTTCTAGCCTTGCAGACAAACTATTTCCTGTCGACTGTCCCTCTGATATTTTATCCATAAGTTCAAGCAGGAAGGGAGAGACAGGTTACTCCTCCGTTCTCCGTTTAAATCCAGACACCTTGGTAAGTCCTCTTCCTCATCTCCCATTTCCTACTCCAAGCCTTCTTGTCCAGATACCGCACCTGCACTACTATTGATCTACTTCCTCACCACAGGTGAAAATGACAGACCCCATCTTCTGTCAACATCCCTCGTCCTGGAGGGATAAGACTTGTCCAGCTTTCCTCTCCTCCGTGCTGCATTCAAAACTGCTTTACCACAGCATCGCCTGACAGAACAATGGGCAGCACAATAGAAATCAGCTTCCCAGTTCCCACTGCTAAACCTAACACCACCTGGTGGAATCAGAACACAAAATTGCAAAGAAAGTCTTGTTTATTCTTATACAAGATGCATAAGCACAGAAGTTCAGCCCTTTCAGAATCTAAAGTTTCCGCTGGCATCCCGTGCAAAGAGGATGTTAGAGAAGAATCAGGTGCCTAATTTTAGCAACAGGGAGAACAAAATCTTTCTATTCCTCATAATCTTATCTATGTGTTCTTTGCAGCTTTTCTCACAGACTCTCTGCAGAGCTCGAAGACACACCACAGCTGTAAAGGGGCAGTGCTGTTATGTCCTCACCTAATCACCTGCAGGAAGCAGCACATGTGTAGATACCAGTAAGTCAACATAAAATATCTCTTTTAAGCAATTTTTTGGTAAAGATTTATGTAGAATATTAGTAACACAGACGTCCAAAAAGCCATTTCCAGGAACTTCAGGTAATACAGAGAGGAAGAAACTTTCAGGGAAACAAGTAAAATAGAAGCTACCATGGTATTATTTGGTTGATTCCCCCCACCCCCCAAAAAAAGTTATAGTTCCCTCGCATTGCAGCTATTGTTTCCTTCAAAATACCTAGGCACACAGGTAATTGGTCTGTTTCAATACCAAAACTCAAAAGTAATATAACAACATATTTTTCTGGATTTCAGAAATTGGCAGTAGATCCCCCTTCATGATGAGCTAAATAAATGTAATAAAAATGCTGAGCCTCCTGATATCTAATATTTCTTCTAAAGTATTTCCATACTTACTGCACAATTGCTTTAAAATACCTCACTGGAATGAGAATACCACAGTAAATCTCAACACATTACAAAAGCACTACAGCACTGAGATGCTCTATTATTATTATTTTTAAACAGCAATTGCTTTTGGTTGGTCAAAGAGTAAGTGAAGGGACTCTTTGGAATATGTCATTACTACAAATATCAAGCAAATGCTTGGAAACCTTCAACTCATTTATAATATTCCCTCTCCTCCTTCTGAAGAACACGTTAATATCTAAAATGATTGACCTGCTTATAGGAAAGCCAAGCCAGTACAGTACTGTGGCCCAAGAGCAAGTTTCTAACTTAATTAAGAAAATGTTTAAGACAAAGCTGAAAAAAAAATAATTTACTTTTTCATTTCATGAAACAATACAACCACCCAATTAAGAGCTTTTGTTGCAATTTTATACATTGCCCTAAAGATAAAATCTATTTTTTACAAATATGTATTATGCATAAAATAACATTTTAAAAAGCAGCCCTCTTCCTGAAAGACTGCTTCTCATGCAGACTAGTGGAGATTGCACAAAGATACTTTTCTATACAAGGTCTATCCTCTGAGGAGCCAGGCTTACTGAAGAAGTGTCAACAAAACTACTTTTTTGCGATGGGCAATCTTCTGCACTAACAGAGGTCCCTTTCCCTCTTTATTCCTCTCCAGCCTTTTTTTTAGACTACATTTCCTCACATTATCTCCCCAACAGTTTAACAGGGATGACATCTGTTTGACTGCTCCCATGATCTTGCCCATATTATTCTATTATTCTGTCATAATTCTTGTTATGAAAGTGCAAGGAGTTAGAAAGCCTCTGAAAAGACCACCTACTACAAAGCTCTCGTGAAAAATGCCTTTCATAAACATCATCTTTGTCTTTACATGAAATTCTCAAATAAACTCTTTTTTTGCAAAGAAAAAAAATCCAGACAATTCTGAGCATTACAAGCTTGCTAAAGAGAAGGTATCTTCACTCTTTATCCTAAGAAAAGTAATTTTAAAAACAAATAATGAAGCAATGAAACACGGCCCAACATAAGGGAAAGCACAAGTCTAGTTGGCTTTTTTTGACTTTCGTAGATCTTCAGTTTAAAGCTGGTTTAAAATGAGAGTTCTTAAAGAGGTTTCCTCATTCAACTTTCAAATGGCTAACAGAGAAGAAACACAAAGTAAAATGGAAATAGCTACCATATCTGCTCTGTAAGCAAAGTACTGCTTACCACTCTGGAAATACTACCAAAATACAAAATAAAGAAGCAACAAAAGTTCAGGATCAAAGGATATTAAATTGCCTTGCAAGTTCAAATCCCAAAGGAAAACTACAAACATCATGAAGGCATGGAGCTTTGGAAGATGAGTAACAATCTGGTGCCACCTTACAAATTTCACCAGTGGGAAAATTAGCCGTTGAAGTGTTTTAAAAACGGAGCTTCTGACTTCTAAAATATCTAAAATATCGAGTTGGTTCCACTCACTGAAAATTTAATTAGGTTAAAGTTTTCAGTGGTACTTTGCCATAGACACTGAACTTAAAAGATTCTCTCAGAGGAAGATTGACTTAAGGTCAACTCAAGTGCCATGGTCATCTAGCAAGGGAAATCAAAGCTGTCAAGAGGGAGGGAAGAAAAAGCCTATTTGTCATCATTGTGAAAATCTAAGCTACAGGCAAACAGGCAAGTCTTCAGTCATCAAATATTTGTTCTCACTCACATACATGTGACAGAATACAACTGAAAAGGTTTTGAGGCAGGAACAGCAAAGCATCAACCATGCACAAATCACAGTACGCCTCAGATGTTGTTGTTTACCTTACAAAAAGAAATAAACAACAAAACCAATCTGAAACTAGGAGGTGACTTACTCTAATCACACTAACATGACAGCATTAAATGATTTCCAAATGAACAGATTTATGAAATGCCTTAAACAAACAAAAAATACTCAGACTCCAGAACATAGGTGATGGCCTTTTGACCTTAAACTACACAAACTTGTGCTTCTACTAAATAAATCCAGTAATTTGTTTTCACTAGAAAACCCAGAGAGTCCCCCGAGTACAACATACTATGACGGAGTCAGTGAAGGGACACAGCAAATGACCCCAAGAAGGACCACAAAGCAAAATGATTCCTCTATGTTCCTATACCCAAAACCATTACAAAATGATGAAAAACATTACTGCAACCTTTTCTGTGCTTTATCTTCCCAACAATATAAATTCAGACAGACAATCTACATAAACCGATATTTAAAAGCATCCAAAAAGCAGCACTGTGAAAATAACTGACATTTATTAACCCCTCTGGAGATCTTCAGTGCCCTAGAATTTCCACAGCCTTCAACACTGCATTAATAATATAAAGTCCATTCCTTCGAGCCTGCCAGAAAAGACTGGGAAGTGAATAAGCTAAACAATGCTGAAATTCCAAGTGATATTAAGAACCTATGCATGTTTATTTAAATAATAAAAGAAGACTTGTCAATTTAAACAAGACGTGCTCACGAATCTTACATTTAGGGGGAAAGAAACTCTTCAAAACACCACTAAGCTACTTATAATGAAAAGATGAACAAACATAAAAAAGTGGGTAATTTCACCATCACACAGGAAAAACAAAGCCTCATTTGTCTTGCCCTGTCATATCCGGCACGTTGATTCAAGCCAATATTAACACTGACAAACATGTTATCCTACAGGACAACGTTACATGCCAAAAATCAGTTTCAATTTGGGAAGATGTGCAAGTTTTGTGACAGAGAGGGCAAACGACAAAAAAAGAAGAGATGTGGTGTATGAAATGACATAACACAATACCCTTCACTTTTTGAAAGGGCTTCCAAACATCCCAATCAGCCACAAAGGGCATGCTAGAGATCTTAGTTTTAGGGTAGCCAAGGAATAAGCGCAGCAGTTTTGCTCTCAGAATAGCCACACTCGCATGTTCCCTCGGTATCCCAGAGATCCTGCTTTCCTTAACACAGCCAGGTACAACTT